AGCAATTTTTGCATATTAGCTACATTTTCTGCTATTATTCTATTGATATTAATTTTGGCACACTTTTATTGTTATGTTTAACTTCCATTGTTATGTTCAGTGAAAACTGTTAGATAATATATTATATGCTAATAAAATCTGCATTTTAMTTCTTAAATATACCTGATGGTAATACATTTATATTACACTATAYTCTATTCAAAATAAGAACGTACCTCTGTGGCGAAAAATTTTTGCTCGCAATTTTCAGGCACTTCCCTCAACAAGTCAACATATTGTGAGCCAGTGCTTTGAAACAAAGCCACACCCATGCACTCAAGTTGGTCTAAACTCACTGCAGCCTCATTTTGAATATAATATAAAATAAACATTGTTTACTTCATTTGATTTAAAATGTACCTATTCAGACTTAAAATCTATAATTCATCCTTCACTTACAAATGGTATTACATCTGAATTTATTAATGTAAGCTTACATCTTATGTTTTTTTAGGCTGTGAGTGGTTTAGTAGAAGCTCAAGAAAAAGGTATTTACCAAATTATTTAGTTTTTCTGATAACTAGATAATGAAAATAAACTTATTATTAATATAATTAAATATTTATTATTGTCAGCTGAAATAAACAGTGAAACTGAGTCACAAACAGGAAATAGTGGTAGTGAAGATAACATGACCAAAGACAGTGGAAAAACTAATAGTTTGACAAATGGTCCAACCACTCCCAGAAATCCTTTAGCCTCTGCCAAACGAGCGTCCAGTACAAAAAAAGTTAAGAATCGATGATCTTCGTTCAACAAACTCAATAGAGTAAGTATATACCCTCTTTTTAATATGAATTATGTAACACTTTATGAATATCCATAAAATATATTTTCAACTATTTTTGTAAGTTTGCCTTTATATTATTTTTATACACATAAGTAACTACTTATAACCAATAATAAATAATCGAGAATTTGATATTGACAAATACTTAAGGATTTAAAATTTTAAACAACGTACTTTTAGTTATTAAATATTTATGTTTCATGGTTTATATTATTACATCAATCATCAACTTACTGGTTACTATCAATACTATCTATTTATTCAAACTTATTKTATTTTAATATGCATATAAAATGCCATACAAAACTACACTCATACCAAATCTGKTTTTTAACAAATAATTTTATTTCATTCAGGTTTTAAAACAGTTCCAGCGACCACAGTGAGAACGTTGTTATGTTAATATTATTTAACTTACAAAATTTTTGTAAATGTATTATAACTACAATAATCTAGAGCTTAGAATTGTTAATTATTGCAAAAATATAATTTTGATTGTAAATTATTGTATAATAATGAAAAACTAAAACACAATGATAATTTTCTAACATAGCACATTTAA